GCGCTGGCCTTAGGGGGGTGGAGAAACCCCAAGGAGCCCTGGTCTGCTAGGAAAGGCAGGGATGCCAGGCCTGAAGGCCTGATGGGTGTCATTTGAGAACCTGTTTCCTCTGACTCGGGGCCGCAGGAGCCCGCAGGCCGAGGGCCACACTGCCTGGTAGACCTCTATTTTAGAGTGGCCTTTGCCCTGTCTGAGCAGAAGCTGTAGATCTGATCAGATCCCCGGGAGGACTGGCAGGTTATGCAGTTGCAGTGGTCAGTGAGCAAAGATTTACTCTTTGTCCCCCAGGTCTTTTCTCTCACTCACTAATCACTTCTTGGAACAAAGCTGGGTTAGCTTTCTCCCCAAAGTCTTGGGCCTCGCTTGGGGTGCTCAGCTACGGAGCAGGACTTGAGACTCGGGGGTGGGGCCTCGGCATTGAACTCTGACTGCTGATCTCCATTGTGTTGTGAGCTAGGCTCATTTGGAATAAATTCTTCAAAAAGGGAGTTGGGGGTGGGGTGGGGGACAAATACTTGGGTTGGCGTCTCTCACGCTTCGAGAGGGTGGCACCTCCTGTCAGCACCCATGGGTGGCCCATGGGCAGCAACCGCACACTCTCGGGCAGCTGAGTGTCTGTCCACACAGGGAGGGACCTCAGAATTTCCCTTCTCAGGGTGTGACCAGCCTGTGTCGTGGGTTGTCCGTCTGCAACCTGGTGGGCACAGGGTCATCATTTCCGCAAACCTGGAGATTCCCTACATGCTCCTGTCTTTCCTATTCCCTGCCCATACCTCACTCCCCACTGACAATCTGTTTTCTATGATATCCGAGCATCCAACATGCTGTAAGAAGTCCCAGCTTAAACCTGTAAATCCTGCGTGGTGGGGAAGATGGAATTTTTTGTTATCACATCAGAGAACACGAGAGGAGCCAGTACTTGGCTTGCTTCTTTCATCCGGAGATAACTCACGCACGGTTCTTTTTCTCGATCCACTGGCAGCCAAGGGGTTGTGCACCAGAGGTCTGCGTCCTCAGGGGGCCTGGACAGGCGCTCTGTGCTGGCAGCGCTCGGCCACAGGGGCATTGTCCATGCTGCCCAGCTGCCATCTTTTGCCAGGGGAGTTTCTAGAAGTGACATCAGGTGTGGACACACTGTCACTCACTCAGAGGTCACTGAGCCTGGGAAACCACTCATGAAGGCCTGGCGGAGGGGAGCGGGGTTCTTTCTCTGAAGCCCTGGCATGCCAGGACCCCTCCCAAGATGTTTCAGACCTCCTTCTCTGACTTGTTTAAGGGCAGGGAATAAGGTTGCAAAGGAAATCAAAGCCTGATGTGGAGAAACGAAACATGAAGCCTACTGACTTTCAGAAAACATTTTAAATAACATTCTCTAAGGTTTCACTTGATACTGACGGCAGCTGTAATAAGTTTGGGGAGACAGGGTAAGGTTTCTCTTATGGGTGATCCTGCTTGCTGAGGTTTTGTGTGGGGTTTTTTTTGGTGCCCAAAGTGAGAAAGGGCCAGGGGCGGTGTGTATGTGTGTGTGGGGGTCGTTCAGTGGTTAAGGAGTTCTTTTGTATAAGGTGAGAAAGTTTGAAAAGATGAATTCAGGACTGCACATGGGGAACAGTTAGTATGCAGTAATTTGCAAATGTAATCACAGGAGAAGCCTTTTCAAAGGTGGTGCTGTGTGTGTGTGTGTGTGTGTGTGTGTGTGTATGTGTATGTAAATCGTCACAATAGCAGTGGAATAACTTAATAGTTCAAATTCCCCAGCACGTTGACCGCAAGTAAAACAAGACGGCAGTGCTGAACCTACCGGGCCTGCCAGGATTGCCCCAGTGACTGTTCGCCGTGGAAGGCTGACTCAGGCCGGGATGCTGGGCCTAAAAGCACCCATTGTTCTCAGGGATCATTATTTGGTATTCCAGGTCGGGTGTCTGCTTGTATGAGAATGTCTGCTTGTCGGGTGAATCGTTGTATGAGAAGCCCATGTGCTGAAGACCAAGGCCGGGGTTAGGGATCCAGGTGAGCTGACGGAGGACACCTCAGGCTTTGTAAAGAGCCCATGTTTCTCGGGATCGATACTTCAGTTCACTGTCCACACTTATCTTCACACACACACACACACACACACACATACACACACGACTGGAAAGCTGAGCCAAGGAATGGTGTGATACCTGCAGTCCCCTCCTTTGCGGGAAGGAGTGAAACGTCATAGCACATGAGCTGCAAAGAGACAGTCCTCGCCAAACCTAGTGATGGGTCAAATCCAACCCATAACGCCCTACAGGATGGTAGCACAGCCCCATCGGGCTTCTGAGACTGTCATCTTTACAGAATTGGACTGCCACATCTCTTTCTCCTGAAGCAGCGATTGGATCTGAACAACCAGCCTTGCAGTTAGCAGTCAGACATGTAACACTCCTGTACCACCAGGACTCTGCAGAGGGCCCTGTTATTCAGCTCCGCCCCTTGGTAGAAGGGCTGGTGGAGTGAAAGGAGAGCGAGCTCATATGCCCTTGTCCTTCCCGGTGGATGGGACCAGCCTGGTGGAACCAGGCCTTGGTCACTGCCAGCTACAAGCCGGTGCTGATGGCGCCTTGCAGGCTGCCAGCCCAGGGGAAGGCTCCCCATGACCCATCTGTGGGTCAGGGTATCAGCCAAATGGGGAGGATTTTCTGGTGATGCTTCAAAGGGACCTCAGCCTTGTGATGCTTTCTGCCCATAATTACCTAGAGTCTGGATTCATTGTGCGGCCTCCGTGGGTGATCTTGGGGGCCAATGAATGACTTCACTGGGGGCTCTGGAGTTCTTATCTTTGCTGTGTGAATAGGTGGGTGTTTGAGAAGTGATGGGGGATTTGGGAGTGAACTGTGCTGAGGGGAACCATTGCAGTCTTTCTTCCTTTCTTTAAGTTTTTAAAGACCAGCAGCAGGCTCATACAATAAAGTCAATTTTCATACGGCCTGGCTCTTGCCCCCCAAATTGCACAAAGTAGCATTTTCATCAGAAAGGCCCTTACTCCAGAGAGGCCTAGGGGGCAGTCACTGCCGTTGGCTGCTTGCAGCCCATTGGCGTGGGAATGCTCAGCGGCAGCACGGGGGTCGTTGAGTGGGACTAGCTGGGTCCTCTTCGTCCCCCTCGGCCATCGTGTAAGCTGGAGGGCAGAGGCCGAGGTGCCGCTAGTGGGGTGGACAGAGAAGGAGAGTGGCTGGGTCCCCGGGCTGGCGTTGTCCTGGTGTGGCTGATGGTGGGCTCGTCATGCAGGAAACTTCCAGTATGTTTGTAATGGCGGCATCGTCTCGGTCTCAGAGGGTGCTGCAGTAGGATGGCCGAGCCCCTACTTCCTTGAGGTGCCTCGTGTCCTGGCCGAGTGTACCTGTCCTTGGCTGCCTCCGTAGGATGGACTCCAAGACCCTCTCTTGACTGGAGGGAAGTGCTTGCAGGTGTCAGATAGGAGGGCACGGCACGGAAGGTTTTTGCTCTGCCGGGGAGGCGAGGGAGGGCGCAGAGCAGTCTGCGGTGCCTGCTTCAGGACAGGCGACCCGATCGCTAGCATTTCTGACCCTGTGTTTCCATGCATCTCTTTCGGCACCTGTGTACGCTGAGGGAGCTCTGCATCACGTACAGTCCCCCAGGTGCCAGGAGCCGACCAGCTGCATGGGCTTTTCTCCGCTGTCATCTTTACAGGAGCACATCCCCCGGGCTCTTCTTCCATGGCGTCACTTGGTGGGTTCGAGCCGGCAACCTTTCTGCCTGTCATCACAAGCTAGTTGTGCGCATTGGTGGCTGTTGCTGTGTGCTGTAGGGCGTCCATCCTGATGCATGGTAGCAGAGCACTTCCCCACAGGGACTCCTAGCCCGTCATCTTCACGGTAGCCGACTAGGAGTAGCTGGAGGGCTAGAACTGCCCACCTTTTGATTAGTGGCCAAGCTCTTCACCATGAGGGTTCCTTGGCATAAGACTGCAGTAGACAAATACCAAATAAATGAGTGGATGGATTAAAAATGAAGGAAGGGAGGGAATAAATTCCATGAGTGAATAGAGAAACCCAGTGGCTCTCATACATGTACATGAAAGAGCCTCCTATCAAGAAGTAATCATATCAAGAAGGCATCCCAGCCCAGTCCAACTCAGGTCCCTACGTCTAATACCGCTCTGCAAGCCCCTCCTCAGCCTCTCCCAGCCGCATGCAATGATGCAGAACGCAGAGAGATCACAGTGGGCTGGGCCGGTGGGTGTAGTCACGGCAGCACTCCGGCAGCTCTCAGGGTGGCCAGCAGGCAGGAGAGTGAAGGAGGGGAGAGAGGAGGAGGTTTCCCCGAGGAAGCATCATCCGACTGTTACAGGATTGACAGGTTGGAGTCTACCCCTATCCTTGCAGACTTCTTCAAGTTGACTTTATAAAAGTTTCTAACTTCCACACCACAGTAAAGAGAGCCTCGATTGTTCGTTGGATTTGTGCATAGCCGCGGTCGTTAGCTTTTGGTTAATGTATTTTTAAAACATCTGCTGGCCTTCTGGGGGTGTCTTAGGAATGTTCAGGGAGACACTGTGCTTGTAGGAGCCAGTGTTGCTGTCCTGGTCGACCTTGACCGTTAGTTATAACCTTGGCTGCAGAACTAAGAAGGTCAGCATGAGCCTGTGAAGTTATTCTAAATGGATGGTGGGGGGGGTGTCTAAAAGAACACACCCGGTCTGCCATTTGTCTTCTAGATTTTCAACATAAGATCTTTTTCCCTTGTTCGTTAGGTGGCCGTGGACAACCGCCAGCTTGGGTTCTAATAAGCGCATTTCTCAATTTTCTAAATAAGTCTCCTCTTACGAGGGTAGCGCTCCAGTGGTCTCCTTTGAAGTCCATGTTATGCTTTGGGCCCTGGTGTTATTTCTATGGAGTCAGCCAGCAGACTGCAGGCCGTTTTGGCTTGAGTTCACCAACAGCCCTCTGGACAGCATAACTCATTGATTCATCTCCCTCCCCTGCCCTCCCTTTCCCCTTGCTCTCCATCAGAGCGGTCCCCACACCGGCCTATCCTCCAAGCCGGACTGCCAGCAAATGCCTCCACCGTGGTCGGGGGCGACGTGGAGTTTGTCTGCAAAGTGTACAGCGATGCCCAGCCCCACATCCAGTGGATCAAGCATGTTGAAAAGAACGGCAGCAAGTACGGGCCTGACGGGCTGCCCTACCTGAAGGTTCTCAAGGTGAGCACTTTCCAGGTTCCAAGGAGCCCACCCTGGGGTCTTGAAAGGTGGGGCCACGTGGTTTTTGCTTTCTTGCTGAACTTGGGAGGAGATGAGTCTCATTGTTGGGTTGGCCCCTTGATTGAGTGTGTTGGGGAGTTTGGAAGATCACCAGGCCTGCTCTAATGCTCCAGAAGACTGGGGGTGGGGGTGGGGGCAGGTGGAGGGTGTAGGTTAGGCTTGGAGGCTGAGGAGTTCAGCTCCTGATGAGAGCCTGGAGACCCTGGAGAAGACATCAGGCTCAGCTGCACATCTAGGAAAAGGTGGGATGATGATTGGATCTCCCTGACCGGGTGGTGGTGGTGACAGGGTCGGCAAGAATGGGGTACACAAGAAAGTCCGGGAAACTCTAGGCCCTGTGCCAATGTTTGCTCTGCTCTGATGTTGGTTTTGATTAAAATGCCACTTGGCTTCACATGTCCGTGCCCATCTTTAGAGAGGATCTAGATGTTTCTAAACCTGAATCCCAGCCACCAGCAACAACAATAACCAAACCCTTCAACTTTGGGGTCCATTGACACTCCGTGGAGGCAGCACGGGTTAGCGAAATGTTTGAACTTGAATATTTTCTTTCCCGTGTTGTTCTTGCTTGGCTCCTTGGAGGTCCCCATTGAAGTAGCATCAGCCTCTCTCTGACTGATTTCCGCTCCCCCTCCACTCCGCCCAAGCCGACTTGTTCTTTGAGATGGGGGCTCTAGGAGCAGTGACATCGTTGCATTGCTCCCTAGCCCTGCTGCCTCCTGCCTCCCTTAGGCCTCTCGGCGCATAGAGAAGCCTCTTATAAAAAGCACCCTTCCTCCAGAATCGCAGGTTGCTCAGCTGAGAACTGCAGCCAGCAGCAGCATCCTCCCTCTAGTCTAGCTGAAGATGGTTTTTGAGCAAAAATGCTGCCACAAGCTAACCATCGTGGGACACTCCCGACATGTTCTGCCCCGACCACACCTTCCCCGGCTCTCCCTGGGTCCTGTCCATCCCCTAGAGTTGCCTTACTTGATCTTTTAAACCCACAGCCCTGATTGCTGCTGGTTAGAGATCCTGGAAGTCGTTCCCCTGTGGTGTGTTGGTGGTGGGACCCCAGACAGCGTGACCCCCTTCCTGGTGGGCCTTTATATTGTTCTCCTGTGTCTGTTCCAGCACTCGGGGATAAATAGTTCCAATGCCGAAGTGCTGGCCCTGTTCAATGTGACTGAGGCGGACGCTGGGGAGTATATATGTAAGGTCTCCAATTATATAGGGCAGGCCAACCAGTCTGCCTGGCTCACTGTCCTGCCCAAACAGCAAGGTAACAATGTTTTTTGTTTTTGCTTCTTTTCATATTTGTTTATTCATTTTTTTTTTTTTTAAAGAAAGCTGAATAGAGAAGCTGAAAAGAGCCGGTGCTTTGGGGAGACTGCAGGCAGCTTGTAGGATAACTCTGGTGGCTTTGGTGTATTGACAATCATCTTTCTCTGGTGATGCGGCTGGCTCGATGCCAGCAGCCATGGAAAAATGCCCACGGCGTTCAGAGTGCTTGCTCTTTGCATCAGGAGTACGCTCCGCCCCACCCAGTTTGCACGTGGTTGCTTCTGGTGGGTCCAGGAACCCTGGTGGTGCCGAGGCTGAGCAGTCGGCTGTTCCCCGAAAGGTCGGCGGATCAAACCCACTGGTTGCTCCACGGGAGAGAGACGTGGCAGTCTGCCCTCGGAAAGACTCACAGACGTGGGAACACCTACAGGGCAGTTCTCCCTGCCCTGTAGGGTCACAGTGAGTCCGGATTGGCTCAGCGACAGCGTCGGGTTCTGGGTTATTCTGTTTGGCTGCACATTTCCCATCCTTCCTGCACACGAGCACCGTTTTAAACATCCATCCGTGTGCCCACTGCATTCATGACACTTGCCTGCCAGCAGGCTTCATGCCTACGTCTACCCCCAAGGTGGCATGAAGGAATCTGCCCAGCAGAACATGGTGATGGGGTCCTGCCTTTGACTTTGATATCTCCATGGAGATGGGGGCCTGCTCCAGTCAATAAAGGAAGGCCTGTCATCGCCTCTCATTCAAATGCTAATGTTAAAAAAAAAAAACAGCCGTCAGAGTAAGAGGGCCCAGTTTGGTGGCTACTGAGATCTTAGCTTCTTTGGTTTCCTTCCATGCCCTGGAGGCCAGAGAGCCAGGCAGAAGCAGACCGGAGCCTGATAACCAAGACCGCCTTCTGCCCTGGCTGGTTCCCACGGGGCCCAGGAGGTCCTGCCAGATCTCCACATGAGCTTTTTCTCTGCCCTGTGTGGAAGGACAACACGGCCCTTTAGAACGGAGCCGCCCATTCCCTTCAAGGTGGAAATCTGCAGCCAACGGGACCAGAACCCACCGAGCTTAAGCTGCCACGTTCAGAAAAGCAGCCCTCAATCCAAAACCTCAAGAGAAGGCAAAGGAAAATGAATCTCCGTGGGTTGGTTTTTCCATGCCCTTGATCTCGCATGCATGTCTAGGTGGTGAAGCCAGTGTGGTGACGGGCTGGTGGAGATGAGCTGGTCAGTGTCCGTCCATGTCTCTCGGGTGTGGGCTCTGTGGATGGGCTGCAGTCGGAATCTCCTGGTGGCCTAGCACCCGCCGAGGCCCCCACCGGTGCGACGCCTCGTGGTTCCACGGCCCCCTCCACAATCATCCCTGTGCCGTCTAGCCCTTTCTCTTGCTTCCTTGTTTTCTAGGCTGCGGGTGTTAACACCACGGACAAAGAGATTGAAGTGCTCTATATTCGGAATGTAACTTTTGAGGATGCTGGGGAATATACGTGCTTGGCGGGTAATTCTATTGGGATATCCTTTCACTCTGCATGGTTGACCGTTCTGCCAGGTATATACCGCTCTTCCTCTCCTTGGGGTCTCCCTTCTTCCTGGTCGATTGCTATCAAATGAACACAGCTTCTGTTCTCAGAAAGGGGCCTTTTTGATCCTTGCCTAACGATAAAACAGCCCACCAACGGGAAGAAGTTTGCTGTCAGTGTGGTCCCGTCCGCCCATCGACGGTCACGTACAATTCCACCCTGGAATCCGAAAGGGGTCGACTCCCGCGTCTTAAGCGAGCCATTGAGTCAACCGCAGAACCCCTGGTCTCACGGGGAAAACGTTGAAATTACTTTGTACGCATCAAAGTAATTCCCCCCGCCCCCCTCACTCCAAATTCCATTTTCCCTCCACGCCCCTCACCTCTCCATTGTAGTCATGCCCCCTCCGCCCCTGCCCCACGCCCACCTCATGGTCACCAGATGTGACTCTGTGGGGCAGGGTGTGTCCAGGTGCCTGGGACAGCACCTCTCCGGCAGGTGTACAGAAGCAGTGTGTTGCCCACCTTTGGGAATCGGTGCATGCTGTCTTGGAGTAGACTTGGTTTGCTTGTACCGCAGAGCATGCCCCTGCCGTCTCGGCCTGGATGTTATTTCTGCAGAAACCAACATCCAAGAAAGCTCTCTCCTGCTTAAGACGCTGCTGCCTCTGAGCCTTTCCTGGGGCATCTCGGCCCTCATCAGACTTTTCTGGCTAATCGCTGCCTGCTCTGATGTACCTGCCTCTTTGCCGCCTCCCGGGCTAGTCTGTGTCGTGGCCTCTAGCTCCGGCCACGAATGCCTTCGCTTCCGAGTTCAGTGCCTTCCTGCATGCTTGTCGTACGCCTGGTTACCTATATATCCACCGTTTCATTGTGTGCTGTGCGGCTGAGCGTTTTGACTTACCTTGCAAGTGTTTTGTTTTTTGTTTTTCCTTCCTGATGAACATGTTTTGGCTTGAATACCATTGCATTCATTTATTTCCCCCTCCTGTTGTGAATTTGCACTGTGAATATGTATTTGCTTAAGACCATTCAATACCTCCTATGTTGAGCTTGCTTTACGTGAAGTGCCGCACTCTGCCAGTGCCCAATTGGCACTTGTTAACCCATCTGCCTGGCAGTTACTAGCATGTTAACGGAGAATGCGGTTTGCCGAGACGCACTCCCTGGAAATACACTGCTTGTGGCTTGACCCTGGAGCACTAAGGAGAGGGCGTTGCTGGACGCTTTTATAAGCATGTGCTGCCTTAAATAATCGAGCATACCACACGGGTGGCGCCATTGCCGATTTACTTTTTCATTCAGAGACAAGTTACCATGATTACAATCCGTAGAGTCAGATGCACAAAAATTCCAGCTACCTATTGATGGAGGAGTATCATATGCTTTTAAATTTACAGTATTCCTCTATTCTATAGTAAGTTAAAATAATACAAATCGTACGGGTGCTCTGAGTCATACGAAGCGGCTGTCTTTAGACGGGATGCGGTCTGGTTTATCTGGAGTCGATGGAGAATTGGGAAGCGGTTTGGGGGATGGGCTGACTAGATAAATGTTCATGTGTAGCGGCAATGTGTTCATCTGGGTTACACGTCATTTTGTCAACGTCTTCGCCTGGAGGACCCTGGTCTAAAAAGATGAAGGCGCTGTAACTTCGGTGGGCACCCGTCAAAATGTAGAACTTCTAATTTGGTGCATCTGGGCCCATTACGAGTGCCCTTCCTGCAGGCTGTTGTCCACGCCACGCTGATGTCTAACAGAGAGAGTGGCCTGGCAGCAGCCCACCCTTCATAACGTGGTGGCAACTATTCTCTGGATTGTGGGTGCCCACTGAGGCTGCCCCCAAGGGCCCTGGGGCACTGAGGGACCCTAGGCCTATAGTGGGAAACAGTACAAGGCAGGGGTCTACGGCCCAAGCCATTCTCAATGCATTGCATTATCGGGAAGCCCACCTTGTCTTGGGCATGGGTCAGCATCTCCTCGATTCCTGTTGATGCGGAGCAATGTGTACGTCCAGTGTCCTAACTCTGTGGCCTGCTTATCTGTCCCCCCTGCCCTGTGACCTGCCATCCAGCTCCCGTAAGAGAAAAGGACATTGCCACTTCCCCAGACTACCTGGAGATAGGCATTTACTGCATAGGGGTCTTCCTAATTGCCTGCATGGTGGTGACCGTCATCCTGTGCCGCATGAAGACGACAGCTAAGAAGCCGGACTTCGGCAGCCAGCCGGCCGTTCACAAGCTGACCAAGCGCATCCCCCTGAGGAGACAGGTAACAGAAAGTAGATAAAGAGTTTCAAGAGCTTTACTCTCCCCCCACGACCCAGCCAGCTCCGAGAACTCCTCCCACTTCGGTTTGACCTGCTCCGCTGAGCTGTTGTGGCACAGGTGGCTCCAGCGGGCTCCTTGGGTGGCCACCCACTTAGGGCTGGGAGATTGTCAAGCCAGGTCTGGGTGTGTATCCTCATGGGAATTCCGAGTCGAGCTCCGGAGTCCAGAAGGGCATAGGGCGAATGGACCAGAGCCCATCCGCAGGACTGGACGTGTCTTTTTGCATGTTGGGTGGGTCTCTCTCTTCAAAACCTGAAGCACCTTTGTCCTGTGCTTGAGACCTAAGCTGGTGGTGTTTGGAGACAGGCAGGGCTATTCCGTGGAGTTGGTACCGTTAGTGGCCAACACGGAAACGGTAGTTCTGTCTGTCCTGGAGGCAGACCTCAGAGAGGAGATGGCCGGTTTTGTTTCAGACCTCCACAATGAAGCAAATGAATGTTGGCTCGGGTGCCCAGTGCACGTGGAAGTTAGGTTTACACAGCGCTGCCGCCTGTAAAGGATCCCTGGTGGTGTAGAGGGATGCACACTGGAGCTGCTAACCACAAGGTCGGCGGTTCAAACCCACTAGCTGGTCCACAGGAGAAAGATGAGGCTGTCGTCAGCTCTAAAATGTCTAAAGCCTAGGGCACCCACAGCGGCGGTCCAACTCTGTCCTGCAGGGAGGCCCTGAGTTGGAATAGCCTCGGTAGCAGAGAATTCGGTCTCTGTGAAGCGTGTAATGGTGTCACGGAAAACCCTGAAGTGAAGATGATCAAAGCGTGACCCAGAAACAGGAAGCGGGCCCGCGTCCTTAGAAGATAGGCACCATTCACTGGCTCGAAGCAGGGGTGCTGCTAACCTTCCATCTGTTACAAAATAAAGCCAAAGTAAAATCTAGAAGGGTGGCAAGGTGCAGAAAGTTCACTGTGACCAAGTGAGGTCTGCCTGTGCTTTTAAAAATCCGGGTCAGAAAGCTACCCCCCAAGATGAATCCGGGGCTGCTGCTTAATTAAAACCAGCCCGAGATATACTTCTGAAAACTGAAGTGGAGTTTTAGCACCACAGTCCCTTCAGTTCCAAAAATAGACTTTTATGCATGGACACCCCCTGGTATTCTGTGGCTGGTGATTCACAGGTGTGGGCAGTGCATGGGGGGGCAGAGGGTTTTTCTCTGGAGCTGGGGGCGGATTGTGTTTAACCCTGGGCTCTGGCCTTGCTGGGGACTTGCTGCTCGTGTGCAGGCACCTGATTGCTTGGATTTTCCTTTGCGGATGATGGATGAGGGTCAGTTGGAGCCTGCGAGGTGAGTGGGGAAGAGAGACCTGGACCCCATCCTTCCCAGAAAGGTGTCTGTGGAGAGCCAGCAGATGGCAAGGTCACAAAGTGTTTGGGCCTTGATGTCAGCGAAGGCATTTTCTTTGGATGCTGCACACGGAAAAGGCTGGTTCCTTGGCTTGGTTTGCGTGTGGACTCAGTAGATTTAATAGATGTTTATCAGCAAGCCCGAATCTTTATCCCAGCGCCAGCGCTTCTGGCTCAATAGGACTGGGTGGGACTGGGAAGCCAGGTTTTAAGCAAACGCCTGAGTGATTCTGCAGTGTACTTCAAGAAAGTGAGGACTTCAGGCTGCAGTGGCATTTTCTGGACAAGGCCTCAGGAAAGGTTTGGGACCAGGTGGTGAGCTGTGGTCTTGGCATGAAGCTGGCAGTTTTCAGCCAGGGATGAATGGGTCACCCCTTGTGTGTTTCCTTGACGCCATGTTGTAAGCAGAGGGAGGATTGGGAGTCTGTGTCAGGCTCCGGTGAATGACCAGGTGGTGCTAACAGCAAAGGAAAGGGGGCCCATTGGGCCAGCCCTGCCACCAAGCCTGCTGGGGTCGTTTTACACGATCCCTATGTCATTCCTAGTGCATGCCTGGAGATTGTAAATCAACCCGGGACCTTCTGCTGCTCCCTACCCCATACAGGTTCCCCTGAGCAGCAGTCTTAGGGCTAGCTGCCTCCCTCTGGGGGTCTAGCCTTAGTGAGTTCTCAGTGGGAATGGTAGTCCTGTCTCCCTCCCCCCATACCCCCAATAGGGAAAAAGGTGCTTTCTGAAGCAAACCTGTAATTTGGTTCCTCTAGTCTAGGCCATTGTCCTTTAATCCTTTCCTTTGGCCTGACCCTCCCTACTCGCCCCACCTCCCTTCTGCAACTGTGAACAATGTTCCCTTTCCTCCCTTTTTAAACCATTATTTCCAAAACAGTGTATTCCCCCAAACACACTCAGTCCCCCAAAGCAATAACTCTCCACCGGTCCCTCCCCCACAACCAGGAATCCACTTCTGGCCTGCATCGTCCATATAAGGGGGATGGGACATGCCCATCCTTTTGGGTCTGACTCCTGGTGGCCAGCGTGATGTTTTCCAGGTTCGTCCATGGTACGGCATGGGCTGTTTCTCCCTAGGGCGGAGTCATGCCCCCTCGAGTGGACAGACCACCGCGGTCAGTGGGTTGTTCTCACCTTTGGCTACAGTGGACAGGGCTGCAGCAGTCATTGCCGAACAAGCCTGCTGGAGTTTTCCGACTTTTCCCTTCTCTTTGGGCACAGCATTCAGAGGAGTGAATCTTTTCGTTCCCCTTCACCTAAGAGGATACGTCAAAAAGTATTGCTTACACAGTGAGAGAGAGTTTTCATTAGAAATATCAAAACGTGACGCTGTTTGCTTCTCGACCTGGCCTCTGTCCAGGTCTCCCCTCTGGAAGAATTCTCGGCTCTTTGAGTCACCCCCATCAAACCCCAGGTTTGGCATCCCCAAGGGACTTGGATCTTGTTTCTTTTTCATGTTAAGGTGGGGGTGGGGGTGGGGCAGAGAAATAAGTCTGAATGGGGTGAGATCAGGGCTGTAGAGCTTAGGGGGTAAGCTTTGCCCATGGCGTTCTCCTAGGAGAGCCTTCAAGGGGTGAGCAGGTGTGTTGTTAGAAGGGGGAAGAACAGCTCCCAAGGCATGCTCCCCTGGCTTCTGCTTCCTCACCAGGGCATCTTTCAGCTCCATCATGCACTGCCACGGTCAGCCTGGGTCCTCTGAGGTTAACCTCGGGAGTCTCCAGCTAGGTCACCACCTTCTCCGGAACGCACCTCTGCCCGGACCTTAGCTGGCCCAGCAGAGCCCCTGGGGAGCCAGTTTCCCTCAGTACCTTTTGATTTGTAGTAAGGTGCTCTTTTTTTTATTAAGGGTCTTTTTGTCCTTTAGGAGGGAGGCCAAGGCCAGTGTGTGCCCGAGAGAACTTGTCTGCAGCCGCTCCCGTCGCTGAGACATGTGTAGACACACTTGGCTGCGAATAAACCCTTCCGGGTATGAACAGGAACCTCTAGAGCGATGCTTTTTGACTTATCCTCCGATCAGACTCAGAGCCCTTGCAAGCTCTGCCTTCAGCCCTGGCCGCTCTGTTTACCTTGCTCTCTGGCCTCTGGCCGTTCTCCACTGCCCTTCTCCACTCTGCTGGTCACGTGTCGCCCATTCCCCCATGATGGAAAGCATGTTGTGTTCCTTCCCGGCCGCCCTCCCTTTCTCGGCCCTCACTGACTGAGGGCTTGGTCCAAGGCTGGCATTCTCAGGGGCCAAGGCGGGAGGTGTGATGGCCTTGTGTTTCAAGGGGGTCAAACCCTATGAGCAGAGCAGAGGGCAGTGGGTGAAAACCAACTCTTAGGCGAAAGGCGTCTGTGGGAGACTGGTTTACACGGGGACTGTCGGCACACTACAGCTCTTTGTAGACGTCCAAGGGGCCGGGTTATTCGCTCCTCACAAGGAGTCCCTCTCAGGAAGCAGCGCCCCTTGGGTGAACAGGAGATACCTATCGGGTCCCTGGATAAAAGAGGGTCATGGGACTGTGGCTGGGATGAAAAAGCCCCAGGAGGGCCCGCAGCAACATTGATGACAGAGAGAGTAACCACTGGGATGCCTAGCATGCCTTTACCTGGCAGCAGGTGAGTCTGTACTCCTGTCCAGGGGGAGGTGGGGGAATGGGGGGTGGGGGACTTGGAGGCGGTTGCTTCCTCTTGCTTGATGAGGCTGCCCTGGCTGGCCCAGCCTCCTGTTACACAGACAGCTCTCAGCACCTTCAGGATGGGACCCGGGTCTATCTTCTTGGCAGTCCCCTCGCTCTGCCCCGGGGCCTCTCACCCACGTGCCCATTGGGCATCTCGTTTCTGATGCAGTCAGGGGCTTCTGCTTGTTGGCATTCACCGGGCTGCACCGAGTGTCCTAAGTGCGGGCCAGCCTTTCAGCAGATGGGTCTTTTCCCTGCCTCCTCCTTGGAACAAAACTATTTTTCTCCCGTACCCAAGAAGAAATTCCTTGTGTTCACTTCCCGGTCCTCATGAATTTTGCTTTTTGGAGGTTGTTTTTGAAATTTTGTGTCTTTTATGGGCTTTGGAAAAAGAGACGCAGCTTGTTGGTGGAGGGGGAGCATGTCCCGGGCCCTGCTTCCTTTGACGGGGCCCCTGGTTTGGTTCGCTGGATCTCAAGCACCAGGAGAAGCACTTGTCACCTGCCTCCCTCCCTTTGCCACCCACAGCGTGTTAGGTGGGTGCTGTCACCATAGCCCTGCAGAGGTCCCTCCCTGCACCCCCTTTCCTGACTTTGCTGGTTCTTGTGCCAAATGCACGGCTGCTACCCAGCAGCCACGGGGAGCCATAGAGCAGCCCTTACACATGCCCATTGAGTTAAAAGAGAAGGTGAGTCTTCCTGGATTCCCACGAATCAGGTGTGTGTGTGTGTGTGTGTGTGTGTGTAGGCAAAGGAAAGGGGTGGTAGTTGTTAAGGAGGCATGCGGACATACTGGGGTTCTTGGATGAGCTTTTCAGCAAATACATTGGGCTCCTTCTTTCTGGAAGCTTCCATAAGGCAGGATGGGGGTTCACTCTGTCTCCCGTGTTCACTCTGCCCTGATGCATCTCCTGGGTGGTGAGGGCCATGCGCTCCTGCGCTCACCTGCTCCCCGCAGCCGCAGGTACAGTTATTTTCCCCTCAGGCTTCTGTTTTCCCCTCCTGGCTGCAGTTCCAGGTAGGCTGACACCTGGAAGAAAATCCAAGGGCACTCAAGGCCCTCTTTTATAGCAGTGCCTTTGGGGCCATGGCTTGCGTTCCCTGGGACAGAGATGCTGGAGGAGGAGTCATGAGCAAGGCCCTGGGGCAGAGAATTAATGATCACTACACACGGGGTGACGAACCTAGTCAGGGGTTGAAACACACCCTGTTCTGGGAAGGAGAGCTCCACTTCTGGTAGCTCGTTCCCCACCGAGCAGACGGAACACGAGGATTTCAGAACAGTCCCGTGTTTTGGTCAATCAAATGGCCTAAGGAACCTCACCGACTCCAGAAAGCAGTCGAGTAATTGGAGTGGTCATGGGTGGCTTCTTTGGGATCTGACCTTTTCATGTGGCGACACAGCCTCCCCGCCGCCTCCCGGTCCTCTCCTCCCTGCCTCCTGACAGCCACTGGCCCACAGCCGGGTCCCCTCTGGTCACACCAGCTCCCCAGGGCCTCCTCTGCCCCCACAGGTTTACTCAGGGGGAGTGGGGACGGGCCAGGGGACAGGCTGGGGGAAGGGAAGAAGATTGGAGAAGAGCAAGTATCCAGTTAACAGCCTTGACTAATTCTCTACATTTTGTTATGGGGCAAATAAATAAATAAATAAATGACCCCAGAAACCTCTTGGTCCTTTATCTCCCCCGCCTGGGGTGACAGAAGTATTTTGTTTGGATATGGGCGGACAGCGCTGGGGAAGGCAAGACGCTGGGCAGGAGGCTGTCAACCTCAGGGCCTCATTTTCGGGACGAGGCCGGAATTTGACCCCCCCACCTAACCCTTAGATGGTTCCTTTGTCAAGGGGGGTGGAGATGGGGGGCCAGCCCTCCCTCAGGAATAAGCCTACAAATGGGGTCCCCTGCTCCCAAGGCATCCTTGCTTGGCCCTGCTCTGCTCCCTGGAAGCCCCTGCTCTGGGTGGTACACTCAAATCTAATCTTGGACTGAGAGATAACGTTACTCAGGCCCTTTAAGGGAAGGGTGGGGTGATTAACCCCTTCCTGGCTTAATCTCCCGAGTGTGGCAAAGTATGGAAAGCACTTGGGGTTAAAAGCTTGATTGATGGTACAGGTAAAGAGATTCCAGAGGGTGAGGGAGCTGAATTAGAGACGGGGAAACAAGTGCTTTCGGGAGAGAAGGGGTGGGGTGGGTGCCTGCTAGGATTTGGAAATGGGAAAACAGTTTCTTGGAGTGTTTATAAATAACTTCACTATCTCTTATCAGCCTATCAATGGAATATTTTTAAAGGAGGGAAAAGGAGAGACCTAGAGGTGAAGCTGGCCTCTCTCTTCGGGGGTCGGACCCTGTGGCTTTACACTTAAGGGGAGATAGGGGTCTCACAGGCTGGCAGGAGGGGCTGGTGAGAGGGGCTTGTTGTGGAGGGGGGTGGCGCACAAGAGAAGCAGAGCACCCACGAAGGCCCAGCCAGAGAGGAGAGGCAGGGTGCCCGCCCTCAGAACAGCCTGCTCTCAGGGGCAGACGCCATGAGCAAAGAGCCAGTTGTGTTTTACGGCCCTAGGGGGGATTTTAAAAGCATAGTCAAAATGTGTGGAGGTAAGAATTAAGACGCCTCAGTAGACAGGGCGATGGGCTCCTTAGATGTTTAGCATTTCCCCTGCGCCCTCCCCACTTCTGCTTTTTATAAGAGTGTGTTCCAGATTTCTGCTTCATCAGGGTCCCTGCTTTTAATTTGAACAGAATTTCCTTAAGTAATCCTTTTTGTAAACACACTTATTTTAAATAACAAAGTCTGTGAAGGTGAAGGCAGTCCACTTTAGAAAGAGCTGGCACTCTAGAACCTGGCTGGCATGCCCTCCCGGAACGTGTGTGCCTGGGTGAACTTTTGTCCAGGGCTCATGGGTAAAGATTCATAGGTTACTACAGAGCAGTCAGCTTGAGGTGGAACGGTAAGTCTTTTTGCTGTTAAACAAGCCACCCTACAGCCGACGTTGGGACATCCTACGGGGTCCAAATGGTTCACACACGGGCTGCTAACCGAGCGGGGGGGCTGATGCTTCATGACACCCATAGGTGCCTTGGAAGAAAGTCCTGTTGAGGGGCCACGGAAACCCCCGTGGAGCAGAGTTTAGTCTCACATGTGAGGCATCATGAGTGGGAGCTGGCCTGAGGGCACGTGGTGGACGCGAGGAGACAGTGCACCCTGCCTGGTCCCAGGAGGAAGGGCAAAAGGAAGGCTTCTGCTAGCTTTACATTCATTTTAGAAGTCAGCATACTTCGCTCCCAATAAAGCACAAGACCCTCTTATCCCCCTCTCCTCGATATTAAATAAAAAAACAACAAACAAACCCTCACTGCCACCGAGACATTTCTGGCCCCAGGGACCCTGCAGGACAGGGTAGAAGGACCCCTGTGTGTTTCCAAGCCTATGCATCTTCACCAGAGTCGAAGAGCCTCCTCTTTCTCCTGAGGTGTGGCTGGTGGTTTCCAACTTCTGACCCTGTGGTTCACAGCCCGTGAGGAACCCCCGCACCACCAGGGCTCCAGCCCCTGACGTGACAGCCTTCGGTTCAGATCCTTATTATCTTAGAAGGTCATTGCTGTGAGGGGCTTCCCAAAAAGTGCGTGGGGGAAATCCCACCAACTTTTAATCCTGTTTTTCTGTGTGTATTTTCTTGAAATCTCTCCCCCTTATTTTTAGAGAAATTACTTTTTTTCTCCAACATGAGAGGAATACAGGACTACACCTACCTAGTCACAGAATCCAAAGAGTCTAGACAGTTCTGAAATAGGAGGGGAGTGGGCTTTAAGAAGTTTGTGGGGGTCATGGAATTAAAAGATAATAGAGGTGAAGCCTCCTCTTATTTTCTCTCCCCTTCTCCAACCCCTAATCTCCCCCAAAGGAAACTGCTGCTAAGTTCCAGGCCTCCTCCGGGCACTTTGTCAAGGTGTGTGTTCTAGCAGGGCGGGGGCTCCTTCCCTGGTAGCATCATTCTGTGAGCTCATTGATGGAGGGGGGTTGCTTTCTGGCTGGTCGCGTCCCCACTCTGGCCTTCCAGTTCATTTCCTCTCTTCTTAGTGGATCCCAGAATGCCATGCACACCCGAGGTGGAATGCTGCAGGCTCTGCCCTCAATTAAGGGCCACGCTGTCGGGGTGCAGAAGGAGTCCCAGGTGTCGGACCTCAGCGTGTTGCATCTGAACTCTGTCGCCACCGATGCTTCCCCATTTGGCTAGACCTGGACTCAATTGGCATGGTCTTCTCGCGCATGATCCCTAAGCACAAGTTCCCAAGGTGTTTTCTGCCTGTGGGGGGTGGGCACACAGTGCCATTTCCTGTACCACAGACAGCTTAGAAAGCTCGGGAATTTACTTGGGTACCTTTAAAAGATCATAGAAATTCTGTATTTAATACTGAAAGCTAACTTCTTGGTCCCCCCGCCCCCCCAAAAAAAATCCCACCAATTCAATTGTAGATACTGCTGAGTGGCCCTAGGGTTGCTGTGACTGGTTGCCACAAAACCGGGTCATGGAGACCAAAATAAGCATTTGTCTGATCCGAGGAACTGAGAAAATAGCTTAGCAACGCACGTGTGCTGCTAGGTGGGACAGGAGCCCCCCACCCCCACCCCCGGAAGCTGAACAAGGGTGCACGTTTCTTGCCCTTAACTCTTTGTCCCACTTCCAAGCACTGGTTTGGGAAGCTGACGGTGATAAATGGTGGCCCATTTTCACCTCCCTGCCTGGGCGTCCATGGGTTCCCAAAAGGGCTGGGGACAGACAAGCAGTCTGGGCTGTGTTTCAGGATAGCGTTTGAGGTCAGAATTGGAGAATGGCTCCCAGTGTGTGACTGAAAGGACTTGGGGGACAGCAGGTCAGCTACGACCCATCTAATGTTCAAATCCTAGGTCCTCGGACACTCGGCTCACATTGGAACATACGGACGGCGAGGGGTCGGGTTTTCTGAAAGTTTTCACCACGTTTCCCAAGTTGGGCCTGGACTCGCGTCCAGAGTGGACGTCGGGACTCCTGGGTTCGGTGGGCTCGTTTGCGTGCAGGTGAAACGGGAGGAAAGGGGCCAGGGAGGTCTGTCCACGGTCCTCAGGTGACCGCCTTGAGGTGTTGGAACGGGAAGATTGACGTTTGGCTCCAGAACTGTGAGAGCGAATTCCTGAACAGATGGCCGTGAGGCGGCAGCATTTGCGTGGATCCTGTGACTGTGTAGGCTGGAGGACAGAGGCAGTGAGTGGACTTCCAGGTCATCTCCTTTGGGTCCACGTTCGTGATTCTGACTGACCCCTCCCTCCTCTTGCTCTCGCACCGAGTCTCTGGCTGGGCCCCAGTAGGTTTCCAGCCCGGGAAGGTAGACCAGGATGACATCTTCGGTTTTGCATTTTGGATCCAGGTGTCTGCTGAGTCCAGCTCCTCCATGAACTCTAACACCCCATTGGTGAGGATAACGACGCGCCTTTCCTCCACGGCGGACACCCCCATGTTGGCAGGGGTCTCCGAGTATGAACTGCCCGAGGATCCAAAATGGGAGTTTCCAAGAGATAAGTGAGTACCGTCGGGAACCTCTGAGAGTGGAGACTGAGGGACGCATGAGTGCATTGAATTGACAGTTGTTGTTGGATGGCAAAAGTCTGGCTGGGACAATGTCAAGGGCGGGCAGTGAGACTGTATCCTGAAATAGCCAACTCCTAGAAAATGGAAGAATTGGTTTGGCGTGGATAATTTCCTTAAAAGAGCACTTCCAAGCCTTGGCTGATCTCTCGTTAGCATTTTTTGTGAATTCCTGACCATCCAAGCCCCGTCACGTGGAGTGAACTTGGAATTATTCAGCTGTGACATTCTTTCCAACTTTTGGTTATTAGAATATGGCTGACCAGTTGGTCATTTCTCTGCAGAAATTCGGTCCAGGCGATGTATTGGCAAATGGAGCCGTCTCCCAGGGTGGTTGTTTTCGAAGGTGGTCAATGTCATATTGGGCTGGGAAGCTTCCCAGGGGTATCTGTCACCTCATTTCCATGAGTGCATGCTCTTCCGTATTGGATGACCTAGAGGTGTTCTAACCAGATGTTCAGTCCGAGCATGACCATGGGGACTCTGTTGAGGTTGGTCATGGGATCCCGTGGAGGCTTTGCTCTGGTTTAATGCCCGGGTGCTTTGGACTCTGTTGGGGGCGGTTCTGACTCCTGGCTCTGCCAGCTGGTGCCTGGGCAGTCATGAGTGAGACCCCCGATTCTCAGTCCTCGGTTTTATACATTTGGGTCACGGTCCAGACCTCCCAGGACCAAGCACACTTCTTGGCTCCTGCTCATCCATCTCTTTTGTCTTTTGTCGTCATGTATCGGTCACTTGGCAGCTCTGGACTGCAATCCCCAGAAAGATGCATGCGCTGCTCACACAGGCAGTGAGCACATCTTGGCTCTGAGCCCACCATCCTCCTGGCAGGAGATGCCCCCAGACTGACCTCCCGAGATGACGTTGGGTGTTCACTCAAGGGCTCTCAACTCCCTCGTGGGCTACCTCTTGTGGGAGTGAGAGGCCGGCTGTCTGAGAGTCGCGGGGTGTGGAGATACGGGCTGTACTTCTGCATCGTAGAAGCCAGAACAAACGCTGGACCCCTTGTACATGGCGCCTCACTTTGCCTTGACCTTTGCAGGATCACTCAGAGGGCATGTCAGAGAAGTGCGGGGCTGGCTCCAGAAGGAGCTCCGAGACAAGCTTTGCAAATCAGAGATAAGCTTTCCCAGGCGCTGGAGCCGGAGAGAGCCAGCTCTGTTGGAGAGGACTTGTAGGCTTGTGGCCTCTGTAATTTTGTTTCACACGATGCCACACCCATCCACGTGGCAACAGTGGAGATCTGAATACACACCATATGCTTAAACTGAGTTATTGTCCAGGTTGCAGTCAGTGAAGGAGTTCATTGAAGTAGTCTCTAGTGTATTTGTGCACTGCAGTGAAAAGATCATCCACCCACCTACCTACCCATCCACCCATCCACCCACCTATCCA